AGACAGAGAGAATGAGAGACAGAGAGCATGAGAGGGAGGAGGGTCAGAGGGAGAAGCAGACTCCCTGCCGAGCAGGGAGCCCGATGCGGGACTCGATTCCGGGACTCCAGGATCATGACCTGAGCCGAAGGCAGTCGCTTAACCAACTGAGCCACCCAGGCGCCCTACACTGACATTCTTAAAACCCCCTGTGGTATTAAGATTTATTCAACCATCTGGTATTGCTCTTCTCGCTCTTGGAGAAGAAAATACTAGCTGTTTGAGCATCATAAAATGGAAAATTTGTACAGATTACCTCATCAGGGTACAATTCCATTTTTGGTGCCTGGAATGATCAGTTTGGAGAAATTCATTATAATTAGCAAAAGTGAAAAACACAACACGCAAAGCAGGATCTGTCCCCCTGATTATTCTCTCATTTTATTTTGAAAGCTTTGTGTGTGTGCATGCCAGTTTTCTTATTTCTGGCAATCATTGGGGTCCAAAGGTCTTCTACTTGCTTTAAAAGTCAATGAGGGGTGGGTGGGTGGGGGGGAAGCAAACCACATTATTTCACCTAAGCTAGCTCCACAATTAGAACTTTCTTTGCAAAGAGAGAGTTGTAAACCTGTGGCAATTCGTCTATGAAGCCTGAGAGAAGAACCAGTGATTCCCTTTCAAAATCCCCAGCAGGCAGAGAGCCCTGCACAGGGGAGGTGCCTCGTGTCAGGTCCTGGGCCAGCGGCTTGGACTGTGATGCTTTGCTTATCCCCTCTCATTGACGACAGTGCCAGAAGTGAGCATTGAAAGTGCCAGAAACAGGGTGGGAAAATCATTCTCCTTCCTCTGCTTCCTAGTTTACAGGCTCCAGGAACATCTTTGCTATTCACAAACAGATCAACATATAAATATTTACAGTCAGCTGTTTCTAGCTCAGAAAACCTGCTACAGGCTCTGAAAGCAAGGGGCATATGCTCTTCCCCATAGATCACTGTGAGAGAGCTTGTGTGTGTTTCAAACTCTGGAGAGCAAATAGACGAGTTCGGATCCCTAGGGACAGGTAGAATCTTGGCATCCTCTTGCCTACTGGCTTGGGAGTGTTCTAATCATATTTCTGTTTTTCATGATGTTAGCAAAGTATGAACACATTTCCCCTATTGAATGATCTCCATCTTCTGAAATGTCCACTGGCTTGACTGCTCTGCTCTCAGTTCCATTTCTTAATCATGCTGGAAGCGGGGGCTGTGTCTAAGGGAAGAGGCAGACAGAATGAACAGGGCCTCACCTGTTCCACATGAGCATAAAAGGTTTTTCAGCTCTGCAGGGCCTCCAGTGCACGTTTCTTTGAGAAGAGAATAGGGTGTTGCTTGGCTAGCCTTGGGAAGCCTTTCTTTAAAAACTTCCCTGCTTCCTTTTTCTCCCAGTTGAATGGGATCTGAGCCTTGGTGAGCCCCAGGATCTGAGAGCTGGACAGCTCCCGGGAGATTACATCCTGGTCCCCAATCCCCAGCCTCACAGGAGGAGGTGGAAGAACAAAACGTGGGATCGTATGAATTCAGTGCGGTTTGGGAGAGCCTAGTTCTAATTCGGACGGTATTCGGGAAAGCAGGAATGCAAAGTGCCCATGGTGTCCAGGCCCCAAGGCAGAGCCTCAGAAGCCTTTTGCCAGAGGACATTCTGCTGGCTCAACAGCTGTATAAATGTCACTGAGAAAGTGACAAGCATAAGGGTTGGCATGAATTTGGAGCCTGTCACGTCACCTAGAAAAGTAAAGGCGCACAGTGCGGCTTTAAAAACATTGCCCAAAGGCCCAGTAGAATATGCAGAACGGCAGCTGCTGCTGGATGCCCGCAGGATCTAAACTGGTGAAGCCAGCCTTTCAAAATGCCTTTTTGATTCCCCGCTCCTCTTCAAAGAAACAGACGTTCCCACACTTTGGAGGGCTGCAGTGTGGGTCCCAGGGCATGGCAGAGAGTACATTTTACCTGCTCGCTAAAGAATGGGTTGCTGCTGCCAAAGCCGGCCAAATTCGAGTTCTGGGGGTGGGACAAGGAGGTGATCTAGTGCAGTCTGAGGGTCTGGCCTTGAGCTACCCACCCCAGGTCTTGACCTTGGAGAGTTTTCAGCGGCCCCTTCCCTTGCCTGTCTTGTGCCTTGAGGCTCAGGTGGCATTGGCTGCTTGAGCTGGGACTTGTCTGTGTTAAAGTGTCCAAACCAATTTTTTTTATGGGGACACAGACCAAATTCCTGCTCCTCATCCACGCTGTACTCATTGACTTCCTTTTTTTGTTGTTGTTCTTTTTTTCCCAAGAGATGCCAGTTTGTCAACACTTAGGGCTGCCTCTTGGATTGAAATCTTGGAGACTTTCATCCATAACCCCACACAGCCCCGGGACAGTTCTTTTATGCTCCCACATTCAGTATAATTAGCCAGATAGACTTGCTAAGCTGTCTGGTTTGAATGAATTCCGTTACTCCTCCATAAGAATTCAGGATGAGGCCAGTACCCACCAGAGCCAACTGTCCAGCCTCCCCCTCCCATTCTGCTACCTCAGGGGAGGGTGTAAATGAATAGAAGAAGCAGAGCAACGTGGGTAAGGACACGAAATTAAGAACCCATTGTGCTTGCTAGGATGGTGGCCAAATGGGGCCACTTTCAAATGCCCGTAAATCACTTAAAAACCTTCCATCATAGCAAAAATGTAGAACAGCCCTGAACAATGAAGCTCCTTACATATTCTTCTTTTAAACAGAATATTTAATATGTATTGGCACAGCTTTGCTGTTTATTTAAGTGCTAATCATTATTCAAAAATGTTTAAGTGCTTCATTTTTATTCCTGAGATAAACCTGATTTAATCTTCTGTTTAAAAAGGGGGGGGGAACACCCTCTTACCTTCTTTAACTTGGTTGTTGAAAGCTTTCTACTTTGGCATAAGTTTATGTTTGTACCTGGGGGATCTCTTTTAAGAAGACACATTATTGGGGCACCTGGGTGGCTCTGTCGGTTAAGCATCTGACTCTTGATTTAGGCTCTGGTCAGGATCTCAGCGTCGTGGGATCCAACCCTGCGTCGGGCTCCACTCTGGGCGTGGAGCCTGCTTAAGATTCTCTCTCCCTCCCCCTTGTCCCTCCCCACCCCTACTTGCTCTCTCTGTCTCTATCTAAAAAAAAAAAAAAAGACACATTATCAGAGATAATTTGATAAAGCTGCAGTTTATTCATTTTTATGTGCTATAGCCATGATTATCTTGAACCTACAATTTGAGGTCCTGCTTTTTTCCGTTAACATGGTACTGTGAGGATTGTCCGTAGCGCTGTGTGAGCACTGTGATTTTCATGGGTGCATCATAGTCCCCTGAATGGAAATATCACAGTTTGCTACTCTGTGCCTCTGCATTCATCATCTTGCGTTGTTCTATGATTATAAATAACTTGACCAGAATATCTTCTAGAGCTCTCCATGTTTTTGGATTATTTCCCTATAAAGAGGATGATTGTGTTTTAGGCCAGGCCCTCAGACTGGAGAGTATACACATGTCTCTCGTGGACCTTGCGAGATGCAGAGTCTAACTCAGCAGGTCTGGGCAGGCCTGACTTTCTGCATCTGTAACTAACTCAGGGATGCTGAGGCTGCTGGGTGGGCTGAGGCAGTCTCTCCAAGTCGCCAGTGGACTGGCCTCCGGAGTATTTGCAAGACCGGTATTACCAAGCCTCTGTGTGGGCGGGTTACCAAGGAGTCTGCCCCTCAGGAGTATTTTCTCACCAAGAGGAAGGCTTTGGTTAGGCTGGTGTCTAGAGAAGGCAGGGGCTGTGGCTTCAACGAGTGTCGGAAGCTCAGTCCCAGCTGGTGTTAGAATCACTCGGGGAGCACACGCGTGTACACTCACACACCCACGTGTACATATGCGCACACACATATACTGTCCATATACACACTCACACTCACACACACACACACACACACACGCTCCAGACCAGTAGACCAGCACCAACAGAATGTACGGCAGTGAGACCTGGCTACCAGGATTTTGTAAAGCTTCCCAGGTTTTTCAGGTTTTCACCTTCCTACTCCATGGGTAGCCAGGGTTGCAGACCATTCTAAACCCACAGAAGATCTGCTTTAAATCCCACTGAGTTCCAGCTGTGTTTAAACTTGACCGTGTGAGAAGTCTGGGAATTACACATGCTGCACCCATCCCCCACACTTTCGACAATGGATTTAACATAGTCATGAGCTGTCTCTGCAATTCTAAAGATCAATAACCATAATTTTTAGGAGTAAACAAGGCATCTGTCACTGCCAACCTCTCCATCAAACTCATTCCTCCATAGTTGTGCTGGACCCATCTTACTGAGCGCCTCCAAGCCCCGAATCTCTTCTTTCCCTCACTCTTCACATCTCAGCAGTCATCACAGTCTTACGTTCTGTACACACTTTTTTCTTCTAGAACCCAACACATTATATTAAAATCCTCTCTACACATGGCTATGTCTCCTTCAACCAGACCTTGAGCCCCTTGTCACAGAGACTGCATCGGATGCACTTTGTTATTCCCCACCTAGAGCAATGACCGTGTAGCATACAGTAGATACCCATTAATCCTTGTGGAAGGAAGGAAGGAGGGAGGGAGGGAGGCAGGGAGGGAGGGAGGCAGGGACGGAGGGAAGGAAGGAAGGAAGGAGGGAAGGAAATAGAATACGTTTTGATCACACACAGCCTGGACGGTCATCCTTGCCTGGACGGTGCCTGGTGCCCAAATGCCTTGGCCCTGGGGTGTGCGAGATGGGAGACGGGCTGCCCAGGATGTGCTGTGTTGTGTCCCTGCCACTTCCCACCTGCTAGCATAACACCTGCTGTTTCCCTCTGGCAGTTGCCTTTTCTGGCCTCGGCTTCACGACGTTCTACTTGGCGGGCAAGCTGCATTGCTTCACCGAGAGCGGCCGGGGGAAGAGTTGGCGGCTCTGTGCTGCCATCTTGCCCCTTTACTGCGCCATGATGATTGCCCTGTCCCGTATGTGTGACTACAAGCACCACTGGCAAGGTGAGTCCCGGCCCAGGGCCTGCCTAGTCCTCACGGTAGTCTGACACTCTCCTGCAGCGATGGGTATGGAAAGGTGCCTGTTCAGGGAGAACCCGGGGCCCACCTTCACACCAGAGCAGGCTGAAATAACAGCAGATACCGTTTTAAAGAAAACAAGCCTGTTCGTGTGAGCTCTGACCCCCATGCTGCCCTTACTGGGGGTAGAATTGGAGCCCCTCCTCCTCCCCTGTGCTCAGGTCCCGGCAGGAAGGCAGACCCTTGGCCTCAGACCCAACTGCGATTTCCCTGCTAGATCACGTGCCTCAGTCTTCAGACTTGGTGCCAAGTGGTGTTTGGCTGCTTGCACATCTCCCACCCATCACACAAGGACATATTTCTCACCACCGATGCGCTTCCGAAGGACAGGGGCAGCCCAGGGATCAATGCCAGCAGCGTTCTTCTGAGCTGCCGCTGGGAGGCTGTTGTGAGGCTTACCTGTATGTATGGCTCCTGGAGTATCTGAGGAAAGTGAAAATAGCACACAACAAACGAGGGACTGGAATAACACTACGCCACGCCATGTCCTCCGGCAGATAAGCTGCGGTCACGGCCTGCCTGAACGTCAAACAGCACCTGCCCCAGCAGACAGGGAGGAGAGACAGAAGTGATGCCCATGGGACACGAGACCTCCAGGAGCACAGGATGTAGGGCCATGTTTCGCGCAGGGCGATCCTCAGACCACCTTGACCAGGCCACCCTGAGATAGGAGGCCAGCTCTGGGGGTGGGTCTGGAGTGGCGGCCAGGAGTCTGCATTAACAGGCAAGTCGGTTATTTCTGATGAAGTCTGAGCAGCTTTAGGGAAGAGCTCCAGTGTGTCAACTTTAAGCAGACAGACTGAATTACATGTGCCCAAATCCAGCTTTCCTGGGATCCGAATGGCTTTCCACGATCAGCCCGTGGCCTGCCCCTCCCCTCGCTTGCCTGTTTCTTGCTGCCCCCATGCAGTTCCCCTCCTCCCCCCTTTTCTGTCTCCGAAGCCAGCCGCCTTGTGATCCTGCACACTTCTCACCTCTTCCCAGATGTTTATTCCAGTGGTAGTGACGTAGCAGATGAGGCCAGAGGTGAGGGGTGCTCCTAGCTGGGGACATATTCTCCCCACCTTTTCTGGCGCCTCCCGCTCCTCCTCGTACTTCTCCAGCTTCTCCTGCTCCTTCCCTGGCCTCAGCTCCACCCACCAGCCTCTTGGAGCTCATGCTCTGGGCTTTATGAACTCCTTTCTAGCAGGAGCTTTGAGCTTAGAGCCAGGGGTTCAGTGGAAAGAGAGACTGATGCATGGTCTGGACAGGTGGGTGCGTCAAGTGCTGATCAGGGTCTTGAGGCCCTCCTAATGGGGGCGGTCACTAGAAGCCATAATGCTGAGCCCTGTGCCCTCCCTTGTGATCTACTTTTATCAATGACTTGGATGAAGTTCTGGATAACACAAAGCTCCATCACGGGAGGGAAGCAGGGGCAGAGCTGCTGAGCCAGAGGACCAAGGCATACCCACCGCACCCGGGACTGTTTTCCAGCAGAATCATTATCACCCAGATGATGAGGGCATTTCCCCATGAATACAAGCTGGCTGGTGTTTTATGGACTGCTTTTCATTTATCCCTTGTGAGCTGTAGTTCCTTCTTCTGAACTTGGGAACAATAATCCCCCAATATTTCACATGCTGTTTTATAGACTAAATGGAATAATGGATCTGAATGTACTTTGTAAATGAAAACATATTACACAAATGCAAACTGGTATTGTTGTTGCTTCGTGCATTGTTTCTAGAGAAGGATGGGTTGTGTTTCCCAAACAACTGATTTAGAGGCCGACGTGTTTTTGGAACATGGTCTGTTTTTTAGCTGTGAGTCCCTGGTTTGCACTTTTATTCAGTCACTTGGGATTTGAGAAATGATGAAGGGTTTCATATTTGAGTAGAGTGTTGCTTTATCTTGGAAGGCCGGAGGGGCCTTTGTGTAGTGATCTCGTCCTGAAGCCCTCAGACATGAGATTGGCCTCTCTTAAATACTTTTGGCCCTGATTGATTTTTTACTCATTACCTTGCTGTGGCTGGCACATCACGAAAGGATGAAGAGTCACAGTCCCAGGCTTTATGGAGGTGGCGGACGCATGACGCAGCTGGGGCACTGAAGGCCTGCCGGCAAGGGGGCTCCGGCCCCGTCTCATCCAGCGGGCAGAGGAAGGAACTTGGAGCAGTAGAGGGAGATTATGAATGCTCTGTGGGGTGATAGGAAAGCAAAGCAAGAGACTTGATGTCCAGTGACGTTTAGGGCCAGACTTGAGGTGTGGTAGACTCCCACAGGCAAAACCGAGTGTACGTGGGCTGTTCCAGGTCTTTGATGTGGCCCAAGTACCAGTTCACCCATGTCATCTCTTCTGTTTATACCCCCAGAAGCAGCCAGGAGACGAGTGCGCCTTCTCCTTGGACTCTTTAATGGGCCCTGAAAGGAGTCTGGCTCATTTTGCCCGAATTCCCTTTTATGAGACCATCTGTCACTGTCTACGCCAGTGGTCTCAGCAGGGGGTGACTATGCCTCCAGGGGACATTTGGCACTATCTGCACGTATCTTTTTGGTTTGTACAACTGAGGGGTGGTGGTGTTGCTCCTGGCACCTGGTGGGGAGAAGCCAGGGATGCTCCTAAACCTCTTACAACGTACAAGACAGCGCCTCCCTCACAACAAAGACCTACCCAGCCCCAGATGGCTACTGCTGAGGCTGAGAAAACCTGACCTAAGGTGTACCTCAGCGCCATCTTTTTCCCCCCTTATTACATGTTAAGAAGCAGCAGTGTTCAATGAGTGGGAAATTTTATTCTTTGAACACTCACTCATTAAGGGAGTAGTCAGGGAGGCCTCCCAGGTTTCCAGCTTAGAGAAGGGATGGACAGTGTGGGTGGGTGTTTGAGGCAGGATGCCTGATGGAGATTTAAATAAGTTGTTTTTCTTCGCAGACTGAGCTGTCCAGTGACCATGGGCAGACGCCACCTGTCATGATGATAATCCATGCAGAGCCCCATAGGCATCAGCAAAACCCAGATCCCTCTCATTATAGACTTTAGTTAACAACATTAATATTATGAGATTTTTATGACTCCATTTCGATTTTGACTTACACAACTGCGTCTAATATAGAAGTACATCCAATTACTCGATTATATATTCTTATCCAGTATATAGCCCATAATCCCAAATGCCTCCCTCTTTCCATTATCATGGTTATTTTCTGTTATCAACACCCTTCTTGTCTTTTCTGCCTTCCTAGCTCCACTCCAAACAGACAAGCCTGTTGTTTTATTAAGTGAAGAAAATGGAGAGCACAGGCCATGGCAGGAGGGGGCATGTGAAATATTTAGCAGGACTTCTGCAGAAATAAAGCCAGCTAGATGGGTCCTGAGTCTGTATGTGGCTGAGAGTCTCCATGTCTTTGTGACATGCCCGCTTTCAGGTCAACTACAGAAAGCTACAGAGTTTCATGGGTGATGCTAACTGCCAGGCCCAGCACCTCACAAAGAGGTTGCCCTTTGTGATTAGCCATGTGTTTTCAAGAGTTAAAACTTGTGGAACTTCCCATCTAAGAAAAGCGTATGTGGAGAAAAATGTTCTTACTGAGCTCACGTCTCCCTCAACTCATAGACTTGTGTGTTTATGATTTCTAGTCAGTGAAGAATTACGGGAGTGGCAGGAATGTATTGTTTGTTATGTGAGTGGACATAATCGTGAGGTCGTTCTGGTCCTCAAATTCCTGTATCTGGATCCAGGCTTTCCTCACGTGACTCCCCACCTTTGGAGGTAATCTTCCGACCAACCCTGGTTTCTATAATCATAATGTCATTTTAAGCAGCTCTGGGTGCTTGTGTGGGTTTTCTCTCTAAGAAAGAGCGTCTCCCTCTGAATGTAATAACAGAGAAATGGATCTCGAGGGCGGAAACGGTCCTTCATTCCCACGCAACCCAAGCTTAGAAAGCATCCACGGCAGTCACAGATGCCATATTCGACTGGGCTGAACTGTTCAAGGGGCTGCTACTGCCTTCGCCATGTTTCCCTGACTGGGCTGGGAAAGGGTTTGTGATTTGAAATGAATTTTCATGTGGTTTCCAGACTTCAGGAGATTATCAGCCCTGCAGATGAGGTGGCTGGGGGCAGGGGACACTTTGCTGATGGTTCATGTGCCACACTAAAGAGCCAGGAAGAGGCTGCTACTCCTGCCCCTCTACACACACACACACACACACACACACACACACACACACAGTTGAGGGACACACTCTGTTAACCAGGTGTTTCCTTGGGCTGTCAGAAGCAGTCTCTAGTTTTTTTTTTTTTTTTTTTTTTTTAAGATTTTATTTATTTATTTGAGAGAGAGAGAATGAGAGAGAGCACATGAGAAGGGGGAAGGTCAGAGGGAGAAGCAGACTCCCCGCCGAGCAGGGAGCCCGATGCGGGACTCGATCCCGGGACTCCAGGATCATGACCTGAGCTGAAGGCAGTCGCTTAACCAACTGAGCCACCCAGGCGCCCCAGTCTCTAGATTTTCTGAGCAAAGTGAGGTGAAAAGGAGCCCTTGGAACTATATTACTGTTCCTACCAGCCTTGAGTAAAACAGAAACATTGATATTCTCCCACGGATATTCTTCGTCTGGAGTGAACTGATTTCAACTCATTTTCCCTCCACCGTCGGCTGCCCTCTGTGGCAGGGTCTGTAGTCACATTCATTTTCAGCTGCCGAACGTTGCTCAGGGTCTGGGAGCCTCTCAGCCTCGATGACTTAGGAGTCCGCCCACCTCTGCCTTCCTACTTTAGGCATCCCCACAGGAGGGCCGGGGCTGTCTGCAGCACTCCCATCACCTGCCTCCTCCCTCAGAACCCACTGGACGGCGCTTTGGGCCAGGCCAAAGAGAGCATGAGTCAGGCCCTCTGCCCCCTCTGCCTCTAGGTTAGCCCTGGTCTTCCCCTGTTGCTAAGTTCCCGGGGAAGATGGATGTTGGCTGCTCACAAGGCTCATTGATGACCAGCTGACTTCACGTCTCTCCCATCCTTCTCTCCTCTACCTTCTCTCATTTTCTCTGGTTTCTCTTGCGGGCTCTCTGTTCAAAGTATTTCCAGAATCCGACTCCCTCTGTAGGTGTGCCTCATTCCCTTCCCCCTCCTAACTTTGGCTCAAGTGTTACCTTCTGGGTGAGGACGTCTTGTGATGACCACTCTTGGAACTGCAGCCCTTCTTCCGCACTCCCTATCGCTCTCACCTTACTCATGCATCACCGTCTAACGGACCGAGTGGTTTATGGTGTATTGATTACTGTCTGTCCTTATCCACTAGAACAGAAGTCTGCAAACTTTTTCTGTAAAGGGTCAGACAGTAAATATCTTAGGCTTTGTGGGGGCTGTGCAGTCTCTGTTGCAACTCCCGGATTTGGCTATAGTAATGTGGAAACAGCTATGGACAATATGGAACAAAATAGTTCGCGCAGTTCATAGTCGGGGAACTCTGCACTAGAGTCCAGTCTCCATGCGGGCAGGGATTTTCGTCTCTTGTTGGCAGGGCACATCGTAGGTACTTGTGTTAGTTCCCTCAGACTCTATAACAAAGTTCCACAGACCCAGTGGCTTAGAACAATAGAAATTGTCTCACAGTCCTGGAGGCTAGAAGTCCGAAATCAAGGTGTGAGAAGGGCCACACTTCCTCTGACACCTGTAGGGAAAAGATCCTCCTGTGCCTCTTCCAGCTTCTAGTTGCCCCAGATGTTCCTTGGCTTATGGCACCATCACTCCAATCTCTGCCTCCAGTGTTTTCCTTGTGTTTCTTCACATCATCCTCCCTCTGTGGGTGTGTCTCCAGTCATATGAGATGAGAGCCCACCCTCATGACCTCATTTTAACTTGATGACCCCCGTACAGACTCTGTATCCAAAGGAGGCCAAATTCTGAAGTACTGGGGTTAGGACTTCAGCTTATCTTTTTTGCAGGGTTGGGGGGGGACACAATTCAACTCCTAACAGTGCCCAATAAATGTGTTGAATGAGTGAATGAATGAATGAGTCTTACTAAATCATGTTTCTTTCTTACTAGTATCATCTTTTTCTTCACACTGGTTTTATTAAAATTTTGGGGGGAGGGTTATTAAAATTTACCTTTCCTCTGCAAGTTCCTTCCCTTTAAAAATGAACAAAAAAAATTAGACTTTAAACATTCATTCAGTCCTTTTGTCTCTCGTGCCTGTGTCCCAGGCATATTCTCCCCTGGATGTGTGGTGTTGAAGAAGACAGACATGGCGGCCGCCCTTCCAGCTCCCAGTACACCAGATAGACCGTGTATCCTCTGTGCTATGGAAGTTCTTTCATAGAAACTCAAAGTTACAAAAACAGAAAGCTTCACTAGTAGTAGAATGAAAGGAACAGAAACAATCATGTGGGGTTGTTGAGTTTGTCAGAGCTGATTTTTACTGTAGAGTCCTGGGTCATAGAGCCCAAGGGATACAAGTTCCCAAGTTAGGCCAGCTCAGTGATATTGGATGTTGCCATGGTGACAGAGAGGGATGTATTCCCCCCGGGGACTTGACAGCATATCTCCAGAAGATGTGCTTGTTTGTACCACAGCAGGTGAGCATGGCCAGTACGTACCTGCACTTCCGTGTTCCAGACCCGGTGAGATCCTCTCCTGTCCTTTGACCTCATGAGAAGGGGGTGGGGGTCCTGCCCATTTTATAAATAAGATTCAAATTCAGGTTGCCTGATTCAAAGTCTGTCCCTCTTTCTACTACCATTGGAGCCCATCTAGTGTTGTTTCCCTCCCCCTACTTTGTTGAGGTATAATTCGTAACTTAGAATTCATCTCTTTTAAGGTGCACAACTCAGTGGCTTTTAGTATATTCAGGGTTGTGCCAACCATTATCACTAATTCCAGGAAATTTTCTTCACCCCAAAAAGAAACTCCAACCCCAGCCCCTGGCAACCACTAATCTTTCTTTCTTTCTCCACGGATTTCCTTATTCTGGGCGCTACATATACATGGGATCACACAATGTAGGGCTTTTTGTGGTTGGTGTTGTCGATGCTTTAGTGCATCTCAGTTCACCAGACATTTACTGAGTAATAACTGCTGGGCTCTGGAAAACGAAGTTGAGGAAGGCTGTTAAGGGGGGTCAGCACCGAGTGGTAGGTATGGGCGAAGAAGTGTGCACAGACAGTCTCCCCGAAAGCCAGCAGGGTCTCTGGCCCATGCTGAGGCTTCCACAGAGCTTGAGGGTACGTGGACTACCTGATGGTCAACTCCTGTCCTATAGAATCATAAAGACACCAGCCCTCTGGTAAAAGATGGTCCTTCCTTCCGCTTCCCAAATTTGCCAAGCCCCTTCCTTCTTTCCTCTGCCTGGAAGACTGCAGGTGTCCCCCCTGTCTCCACTTCCCACTTCCCCTGGCTCACCCCTGCCTATCCTGCACGGCTGGCCTGGCGGGGCTCGTCCTCCGTGAAACTCGCCTGGTCCGACTGGAGTAGCCCAGGCTACTCCACTGGGTGGTCTCTCAGACCCACGCTTCCCCTTCGTGGCGTGTACCACGGCTGGGGCTCGCTGATAAGGCTGTCATTAGTGTCCTTCTGGCCCCTGAGGACTGTGAGGTCTGTTTTGTTCAGCCTTGTGCCCTAGAGCCAGACGTCCTGCTGGGCACCTGATACCCGTGTGGAACACAGACGTGGGTGGAATGGAATGGCACTGATGCTGAGTGAGGAGACTCCCCAGTATCTTGTACTTCAGGGACACCGAGATCCGTTTATTCCCCTTTTGAACCCTCCAGTCCCATGCTGCCATATTTAGGGTAAAGTCAATCCCAAGCGTTTTTTCCCTTAATAAAGGCCTGCCTGTCTCTCCTGCCTGCTCTTCTGTCAGCACAGGCCCGACAGGATGTGAGTATGATTTCATCAAAATAACAATAACCCACTTGAGGCACTTGATGACTGTCTCTCTCATAAAGTAAGTCATTTTTTTGGATCTTGTTCTCCACCTTTGTAATAAAGCCCCACATGACTTTGCTGAGAAGGTGGCTTGCCTGGACCTTGCATTGCCCTTGTTATTTCTGATGACGCTGGTGGACCTGTGATACCACGTTCCCCTCTTTCCGTTCAGTGGAAAACAGCATGGGCAGGACTCGCCTCGCCCTCGGATGCTGCCCCATCAGTAAGCCTGGAGAACATTTGCTCAGGACGATTCGATGTCCTGTGGTCAGTGGTGCACCTGATGAGATGCTGTACCCCAGAAAATTGCCAGCCGAAGGACATTATTTGTAGGTTTTGCTCTTTGGTCTGTTCAGTAAGTCAGTGGCTCAAATGCAGATGTCATGGATCATTTCAGACTCTAATAAAAAATCATGCCCCATGGGGCTGTTCCCTGGGGTTAGAGAACAAAACAACAGTGCAACTCTCCGACCTTGAACCCTTGAGTCCTGGCACGTTTTTATAGGCTGCTGGCCACAGGCGATGTGAAGAGCTTCTCCTTTTAAGGAACTCGATTTAATCCCGTTAATTATGCCTTGTCTTATTTTATTTTTCCCTCCCTCCCCCTATGATCCCCTGTTTTGTTTCTTAAATTCCACGTATGAGTGAAATCATGTGAAATCAGAGAGGGAGACAAACCATAAGAGACTCTTAACTCTAAGGAACAAACTGAGGGCTGCTGGAGGGGAGGTGGGTGGGGGGATGGGGTAGCTGGGTGACGGGCATTAAGGAGGGCACTTGATGGAAGGAGCACTGGGTGTTATCTGCACCTGATGAATCCCTGAACTCTACCTCTGAAACTAATAGTACACTATATGTTAATTAATTGAATTTAAATAAAATAAAATTTAAAAAAGAAGAAAAAAAACTATGCCTTGCAACCCCACTCAGGAATTCATGATGCTGTTTGCCTCTAAGAGGTATATGGAATCCAACAAGATTGGAGATTGACAGTTCAGCATGATAGCAACCTTCAAAAAGAGTCCTGAATTTCTTTTGTTAGGGGAGGTTTTCCATTGTGCTAGAATCTTCCTGGCAAGAATAATCCATAGACACAGTTGAAAGCACCAACATGCACATATACATGCACATACAAAATGAGGGTTGTTGGGGCGGGCTGCTTTCATGGGGGTCTCTGTTGGGCATCAGCTGAATGCCTTCTTGGGCAAGGGGCTGCCCCCCCACCCCTGGTGGAGAGAGCTGTTCTGCCTGCAGATGCCCCCCTCTGACCCCCAACTTGATGAGATGTTGGAGGGATTGGGATTCTCAGAGCAGAGATCTGTTGAGTTGCCAATCCTGGTGTACAATAAAATGTTTTCTTTACTTTGTGACTCCAAAGTGTATTTCTTCCCTGGGAAATCACTTACGAGGCAGAGACCCGCACACCCGATGAGTTTTAGTAGCTCACCAGCAGTACTGCAGGCCTCCAGCGGGAACTTGCTGAAGAACAAGAAATCACAGCCCCACACCAGGGTATCTAGATCCTATAGAGATGGCTGGATTTCTTCCAGATTCTAGAAGAGATTTTAGAATTCAAGAATGCAAATCTGAGTTCATGCGATGCTCAGGTACATATTAAAGACTTAAGAGCAAATCAAGGAAACATGTTCAGGGGATCTTTTAGTCCCAGAAATGAAAAGATCTGCAGAGGCCACCAAGATCTATACCTCCAGCGTGGTTTCTCTTTCCTTTAGTCTCTCAAGGGGGTCCAGCAAGCAGACCACTCACTGCAGTAGGTGAGAAGAGTGCTTTCTAGAAAATGTAACTGGCCACATTTGAATGCGTTGTAACACACTTCTCCCATTTTGCTCTTTCTGCCTAGATTCTTTTGTTGGTGGAGTCATTGGCCTCATTTTTGCATATATTTGCTACAGACAGCACTATCCTCCTTTGGCCAACACAGCTTGTCACAAACCCTACGTCAGCCTCCGGGTCCCGACGTCGCTGAAGAAAGACGAGCGGCCCACAGCTGACAGTGTGCCCAGCATGCCCCTGGAAGGTATCACCGAAGGCCCTGTATGACTAGGGCCTCAGGAGGATGGACGTTGAGCCCAGGGCACGCTCTTCCACCCCGGCATCATAACACAGCAGAAGAGGTTTTCTGTAGTGTGTTTCTCATCCGTTGTTTCTCAAAGTTCTCCTTCTGCTTCCATTTTGCTGGTGGTATTCCTGCTACTTTAAATGTGTCTTCTCAACTTTCTTGAATTTGCAAAGGAAGGACGCAGGAAGAATCTCGGAGAGACATACGGAAGGAAGCCGCAAGGACAGGGCGGGTGTAACTTGGTCCGTTCCTTTACCTGAAATGTTCACTGTTAACAGCCACCGTCCTATGTTTTCATGGTCGTAAAACATAATAAAACCTCCCACCTGGTGTCGGCTGTCCAAGGCAGCAAGAGTCCTTCAGAGACGTGGGGTGTGTCACAGCCGAGGCCGGGGTGGGGAGCGGGTCCAAAGCCAGCTCTGGCCGTAGATCATTCCAGGTGCTGAGCTTTGGAAGCTTTCCGAAAGGTCAGCTTACCAGGGCATATGCCCTTGAAGTGGAGCTGAAGTTTGAGGCTACTGCCTTAGTATTTCCAGGGTTTTTGAGTCATTGGATTTAGAAGGAAATGAGACAAATGAGTGCACACAGAGGCTTTCACCAAATACACTGAAAACAAAGAAGCCCGAGGGCCAGGATGGAGAGGAGGTCTCTGCGGTTGTCTCCTGGCGGGGGGGGGGGCGCACCATGTTCTTCCCAGGGAATGGCTGGGTGGCCTCTGGCAGTAAGCAGCAGCTTCCGGGGAGGAGTTTGGCCCTCTAGGACCTGAGTTTTGCAGGACTCTGCTAGAAGTCGTCTTCTTCGAACAGTGGCGCCTTCCGTCTCCGGTCTGGCGGGTGGCGTTTCAGCGTGGTAGCAGGGCTCTGGTACAAAGTACAGGAACAGAATCAGGAATGCCCTGTTCTGGCTCAGCCGGTCGAGAGCCCTCGTCAGCCTGAGAGCAGAGCACACTGCTTGCTCCTTGGCCACTTTGTTCTTTTCAAGGCAGTGAGCCTTCCCTCCATTTGGTTCTGAGCAGACACACACGTGGTTCTCCAGGTCCCTGGGCCTGCTGTGAAGGGCAGGGGGGCATTTTGTGTCACCTTGCAGCAGCTGCTGTCATAGTCTCCGGAAAGACTCACGCAGCTGTACAAATTGTCTGCCTGAGTAGCTCTGGGCTGGGGGCGCCAGGGAGACCGGCCAGGGTATTTCTGATCAGCTGTCTACACTGTGGGAGCCCAGCCCTGGAGTGCGCACACCACCTTGTGAAGACCTTTTACAAGTGAGCCCCTGTGCTCACCCCTCTCTGGCTGCAGTCCTTCCAAACCGGGCTCAGTGCAGAGCTGTGGGGAGACCCTCCCCCTGTGGGGTGGGGGGACGGAGGGCTTGAGTTGGCTTTCATCCAAAGTCAGACTCTTGATTTCTAAAAATTAAAGCAGTAACACCCATAAGCAACTTTGAAAACAGATGTGATATACTTCAGAAGCTAAATCATAGCCATTTATAAGACATAATTTTAAAATCCAGAGCTAAAATTCATATAAAACTAGAAAATTAAATATTCTGATTCAACTAAACATTTATAAT